ATATATATATATATATATATATATATATATATATATATATATTATGTTATTCCCCCCATGCTGCTACCAACATCGGCTGTTCCCAATTCCCCTGAGGCAAAGTGTTTAAATCCATTTGAAAATATTAATGGTTTGCCCTGAGAAGTGAATGACACCCCCCCACACACACACACACAAATTTTAAAATAACAGCAGCTTATCCACCTTCAGTGCAACTAGATGATTTTCCTTCCTCTACATCAGGGGTGTCAAACTCAATTTCATTGAGGGCCGCATCAGCATTGCGGTTGCCCTCAGGGGGTGTGTGGTCAGGGGGGGTGCGGCCTACTGGGTGGGCATGGATGGAGTGGATGTGGCCTACTGGGTGGGCATGGCCAGCTCTACATCGTTCACGTCGGGTGCCTGTTGGGGCCTGGGCAGGAGTGGGACAGATCTGAGGGTCTCTGGCAGAAGGGGGTGGGACCGGGGCAAGTGCCAAGGCATGGTCCATTTCTTCATTCCTCACAAAGGGTAACACTTCCCCAGCATGCACCCAGGCGGCGGGGGCGACGCGGCAGGGGCTGGTTCCTCGCTGTTTCTAGACGGCCTTGTGGAGCTAAGACTGAATGCGTTTCAGCATAGATGGCCACCACAAAATTGTACATTGGCTTCCGGCCGGCCTGGGCCAGGGCCAAGGCAGCGGGGGCCGTTCCCTCACTGTTTCCAGGATGGCTTCGTGGGCCACATGCAACCACTTTGCGGGCCGCATCTGGCCCCCGGACCTTGTGTTTGACATGTCTGCTCTACATAAAGTGTATAGGGCAGAATTAAAAGGATGATTGTAGCTCACAAGCAGGAAAATAAATGAAACTGAAATAACAACTGTTTGTTCAAATGAGTGGCTATAAAGAAGTTTTAGGTATAATAGCAGCTTGTCCTCTTTCAGTTTTAACTTCCCAAACACATGCATACAAAGTTAGGAGCAACCTCGCTCTTATCTTTGAAGTTAGCTTTCATTCACAGCACAACTTCAGAGGAACAGCAAGTGAAGAAACTAAGAATGATGGAAACTTCCAACCTCATGTTTCTGGAGCTAGTTGCTTCTATGACATTATTGAGAATGTGTATGTATATCAGTATTTCTGGACTATTTGTTGAATTCATGAGAAAGATTCTAAAAATGCTAAAAACATTACAAAAGTCAGATGGATCAGACCCTAATAAATGCATTCATGCTGACAAAAACAAGTATTATTGCTTTTAAAAACTTTTTTTTAATGGGCAGGGGTATTATCTACCACTCCAGTTCAATTCTAAGAAATAATTCAGGCTCACACAAATTTTGACATATGAGGCTGAATGCTGCATACTAATTGGCAACTTTTTCAAGGTTTAATGAAATTGAATATATCTGGACAGAGTTTACCAATAAGGTGATTCCAATATTGCATTATTTAGTAATTTATGTCAAGTATAATGCAACAAGGGATATCACTTTGGTGCTGCCTTTGTACACCAGAAACATATTGGTCAAATGTCGAACCAAGATTCCTCTACTAGAGTTCAGAATCTGAAATCTGACCAGCTGATATCTTTCTGGTTTCTAAGAAATAAAATAGAACAAGTTGATTGATTGGTAAATATATGTTAGAATAAAACACTGAATTAAACAAAGAGAATCCAGCAGAAGTATGCCTTGATGAAAAAGCCAGGATAAATATGTAACAAGAAAAATCAGTTCAAAAATAAATTATTTCCAATCAAATAGGGATAAAACAGAGGTCACATCTAGGTTTTTGGATTCCAGAGATAGGCAACATCTGACTTTGCAGCCAAAGTGAGATGTTACTAGCAGAATTTGAATTCACATCACAAGCAACTTCATATTGCCTCGGCTAACTTTGTTCTTTCTCATTATATCCCGTATCTGGTAGACATATTAAATATACCTGGAAATATCTGTATTACATATGACTGGAAATATGCAGTAGGCATAGGAAGACCAAAGCACTAAAACAGCCCCTCTTTGAGCAGAGTCCAATGGCAAACGTCCAATGACTATTTATGCACAAATATATATTACATTTTCAAACATGCCAAAACAGATTTAAAAATAAACTAGATGAAGAAAGGGCTTCTTTGATGGGTAGAAGTAAGTAAACATAGGGTTCCCCCTCCATTAATTAATTTTAAAAGTCCTACCTTAAAAAAGGTCATGGTTGCTCCATCTTCAACGGTTCCATATTCTATTTTTGTTTGCTTTGCTAAGTCATCTGCTGAGTCAATGGGGGATTCCATGCGTTCCACTGTCAGAAAGGCGGCTAGATTAGCAGTATACGAGGAAATGATGATAAGTGTGAAAAACCACCAAATGCCTCCCACTATCCTGGTGGAGAGGGCTTTGGGCATTAGCTCGGAACCTAATGAAAATCAGGGGAAAAGGATGAATCCAGAGTATTAACAATAGATCTCACTGTTAGAATTCAGGGCTTTTATTATCAAGGGAAACATGGAATCACTGAGCCAATAAGAATGAAATAAAGCTATAGCTTAACTGACACTTATAAAGACAAACAACTGAAATGGCAAAAATTATATACATACAAACATATGAGGCCCACACCCACACATACATAGATACAGGTATATATGTATGTACATATTTTCTCTCACTCGCTTGCGCTCTCTTTCTCTCTCTCTCTTTCTTTCTCTCTCTCTCTCTCTCTCTTTCTCTCTCTCTCTTTCTCTCTCTCTAACACACACACACCTCAAAGTAGTTTTTGAAACAAATTGCAAGATTGTGGAACCCAAGATATAGCAATGGGAGACCCAAATGAATATTTGGCTATCATAATCTAGCATATTGGAAATGACAAATAAAGCAGCAATAAAAAACAATCATTGATATGAACCATAAAAGAGAAAGTTTCTATTTAGCTTAAAAACAAATAATAATCCTGTCAGTTAAAATTTGCAGAAGCATTTCAAAGCATTTATGAGCTTCTAAATAATTTGATCATAAAATGTTTGACTACCATAACAAATAAAATCTTATCTCAAACTCTAAGAAATAATAGAATCAAAGGTGGGGAGTATCAGGAAAACTGTGATACAAAGAAGCATATAAGAAATCTGAATATATCATGCAATCATATAAAAATATCATAATGAAGCTAAATGTGACAAGTCTATGATAAAATGAAACATCTCCCATCTCTATACTTAGCTCCACATTTCAAAGCAAATAGAGGTGGATGAGCTACATATCTCATTTACTTCAAAAGCAATGAAAATACTACTATTGTGCTTATTTTAAAACAAGTCAAATTATACATAAATTGCTGGAGTTGCCTGCTCATGACCATAAAAATAGAAGGATTTTGGTAATATTGTCATTGTTCTAAACTATAATTTAATTTAATAATAATACAAAAGGCTGAAATCAGTAGCCTTTACATTCCTTTAATTTGCCAAAAAAATATAATGCAATTGACATGCATGAAATTCTTAAGATGGAAAATGGAGTAACTTGGACTAACTGTATATATGTGTGTGTATATATATATTCCCATAATGGGTAAAATAATTTTGCAAAGTGTAGATGCAACAAATGGTCATTGTGAGTAAAGTCTTAGATGTTTAAATTAATTAGCCAGGGATTGGTTTTATTTTCTATTGGGTAAAATGGAATGCGGGCAAGATGGACTATTTTATTCCTGATCAATTACAACATTCATATTGACTCAATCAAGGAATTCCAACAAAGTAGTGGAACTCATCTTCTAGTGAAGGGAACATTTGACAAACTCAACATCAAGTAAGAGTAGGGGAGAAAAATTAATGTTTGTTTTTGAAAGTTAGACTTGGTACCTTAAACAAACTATTTGATCCAAAACAGCCCATCTGACCCTGCAGTTCATCATACCCTTGCAATTTTTTTAAAAAATGAACAAAGAAAAAGAAAAAGAAAAGAAAAGAAAAGCTGACAGCCTTGGACATGACAGCCAACTCCAGCACCAGATTTTGCCTAGAATTCTGCAGGGAAAAAAAGTAAAAAAAAAGTACCTTTCAGATGTAGTTGCTCCTATGC